TAAATAGGGATAGCTATTTACTTTCAGGGAGCACCTTTGTGTTCCTTGGGAACTGGGACTATAAACAAACTTATATTTCCATTATCTTGTTTTTAATTTTATCAAAAGCTATTTTTGGTTTAAAATAAACTGATCCTCTAGAGCCCTTGAAACCCTAACTATATTAAGAACAAAGAAACAGACCGGCAAAATTTCACTGTTATGAATGCCAAAAAAGAAAAAAATGGGGGGGGTTGGTTTGCAGGATTTTAAGAAACACACTGAATGAGGAGAAATTTCCCCCCAAAATAAAGAATCTTAATTTGGTGTCAGTTAATAAAACACTACCACAAAGGAATAAATGCAAAGGCTTAAAACTAGAAAAGTTAGCTTTACCAACACTTACTAATGTTAATTTGTAGCTCCATAAGGAGAGAGAAGCTGTTAGCAGATAAGCCTACATTAAGATGTGAAGGAAAAATGTTACCCACAAATGTTGAGAAAGGCTGAGAACCCATACTAGGAACTGCGTTGAGTATAAGTCATACTTTCTGTTACATGTCTTGGTTCAGATCATGATTACATGAGACCACAAAAATGTAAACATGATTAAAACTATACTACATACACCCTTCATTTTCTACATAGTAAGATGTAATACAGAGCAGTCTGGAAAAGGAAATAACAGACACAGGCTTTCTAAGTCTCAGTCAGTCCCCAGTTCTCTCCTTACTGGATATTCTCGCTTTTAGTAATTTTCTATGATTTGTTTTCCATGTACAATAGATCAGGTTTGTTTTTTAAGGGAAAAGTAAGGTAAAAAAATAAAAGAGGTAAAAAGTAACATACAGAAACAGCAATGGGCAATAACACTAGCAGGAAATGAAGACTCAGGGAACCCAAGTACACAAGCCAGTTCAGCCACCAAAGGAGCTAGTGATGAAGGATGAGTCATTTACTTGCTTTTAGCCTTCGTTTATTTGGGTACTTTTACAAAACATACATTACTTATGTATGCATTAAAGTTGAACCATTACTTAAAACAAAAACTTCTCTGGAAATGCAATATGCATAGAGAAAACGAAAGAGCTGCTTTAACTGAAGCCAAAAATGGGAGCCTAGAGTCCTGCCCAAATAACACGCTCATCTCCTTAGTGGGTGAGAAGAGGGGCTGGGTCAAAGGAACTGGAGAACCCCGAGGCCACTCGATGTACTACTTAAAGCTACTGGCGTAGATGAGTGGAGGCTCAGTTAAATTTCATGGACCAGGACAAAGTTCAAAACAGATTTAAGTACTGACATAGGGTTTTTTACTATACATTGATTTCAAAAATCATCATCATCATTTCATATGTGAAAGAACATTCCAGAGACAAAAAATGGAAAGAACATTCTATCTAAATGAATAATCTTAGCTTTGTTTTATGAAAACAACTGGTGGCCAGAGAAAAAGACACTATAGTAGATTAGGATAGAACTCCAGACAACCTCTCAGGTCTATTAATGTTTTAAAATTACACAATTTCTATTTCGGAAAAAATTAACTGAGACTACTTTAGGTATATAAAAAAACTGTTTCCTAAGACTGCCATTTAGTCAGTAAATAAAGTACTCTAGGTAGGGTCACTGAAGTAAAAGAGCAGTAAAACCCAGACAGAGAAAAATCAAGTTAAAATTTACAACTATTAAACTTCAACATCAAAACTAAAATTTTTAATATAATTTTCCCCATACCTATAAAACAAGAACTATAATCACCATCTGTAATCTATTCAAAGCAATGTTTAACTTCCCAACCTTTAAGTGCCCCACAGCTCTTTCCCACTTTCTGCTCCTTCATACTCAGTGTTGAGTTTTATCAACCTCATCACACTTCCTTGTGAAAGCAGCACAGCACCTCAGATATTTCAGGGGATCTGTTTCCTCAAGTTTCAGCACTGCTGTTCCTTTACATTTCTGCAAAATCCTCTGAAAGAGGTTGCCACAAGCACTTGCGGGCATCAAAGTAACATGAGGATACCTAGCTGAATAAAGAGATAAAGCTGTATTTCCAGGATAATGTAGCCTCCCTGAACCTGAAAAACAACATAGTCTATTGATCATGCTACAACTATTTTTTCAAATCTGTTTAAAATTTCTGTTATAATAATATACAACATCCCATTACCTAAAGTAAAACTCCACTATGCAGATCAAAAGTCTCTCTGCTAAAGAAAGGTTTGATACCAAGGACCTGTACCTCCCAAAGCACTGAACACTGGACGCCCAGAAAACATTCTCTAAGAACTTCACCTGAGCATTTCCCTCCTTCTCCTGGCACTGCATATAACATTCTCTAAGCAGATCTTAGATCTATCTTTTACACAAAGTTGTATCACATTCCTGAGAGGCCCAGTCCAACCATATTTTACCATATTTAGATTTTAAAGCAATTTTTCTGGGAATACTTTCTGTATCAGAGAAGAGATAATCACTGATCATCATTTATTACAAAAGTAAAAACTCACATTATCATTAAGACTTCTCTTTTCTGGGAAATAAAGAAAATTCTCTTAACTTTTACTCAAACACTTTTTTCCAATTTTTAAAAACATGCTGTGTGTCCTGTATGCTCCCCATGTAACACTGCACTTGCTGATGGACGCATAAAACAAGGTACAAAGACAACTACATGAGTCTCCCTTTCTCACATTTTCAGTTTCTAGGCACTGATTGCTTAAAATAGCCATAAATGGGTAGGATTATACTTCCTTGTATTATAGTATAGGTTTGCAAATACGACTTTCTTTCCACGGAGGCATCTTTTGGATATTTTGTAAGTCCAGTGATTGAAAGATATTCTAGGTTGAAGCTGACTAAAGGGCCTTTCAGAAGGCAGTCTCAAGTCACATTATATGTACTCCATTAAAGACAGGAAAAAGTTTATTCTAGAACTAAGTCGTATCCATTATTTAAGGAAGAAACACACAGACAACAGGCAAACCTGGCAATTCCCATCATATATTTCTTCTTAGACAACACAGACTCTGAGCCATCACCCCTTAACAGAGTCCCTCCAAATTCATCTTCTGGGTCTGTTTCCACAAGGGCACCTGAAAAGCCTTAAGAGCCTTTGTCCCATCACTTTCATTTAAAAAGAAACTAGGTGCAAAAGGTGGGTCTAAGCTAATTCCTTGGGCCCCAGCAGTCAGTGTGAATCTGTCACTGCTGCCAGTCCTCAGTGTCTTGAGGAATGCTTGAGCCCTGGCTGCAAGCCATCCACTCATCCCTCTGCTCATGTCACTCTTACAAGAGGGCTGCCATCACTGGGCACTCGGACAAGGTTGTGAGATGGAGGCAGCTCAGCCACTTGGAGCAATGCAACACTGAAACCCTGCCTCTGTCTATCAAAGCTCCTGGCTGGGCAGCAAAGCCATGTTGACTTCAGAGCCTCTTCCATTTGCTCCCAGTACAATCCTTACTGGTTATATGGAAACGAGATGTCCTCTTGACAAGAAAATCCTCCTCCTCTCTTAGATGCCAGGAAGCAAACACAGCAAACATGGAAGGGGGTGGAGTGTGGAAGGGTGGGTTTGGCTCAGGTTCACTTTGGATATCTGCCTCGATGGAAAATACCTAACTCTTGACAACCTTTATTGCTTTTTATTTCCTAGCTGACACAGTATCAAAACCAAACATGTACACCAATTTATAGGGAAATAAAACAAGAGGCATGAGTCAGGCTCAACGATAAGAGCAATTTCTTAAGGCTTACAGCACAATGATAGATAAAGCACATAGTATCAACAAATAGAAAAAATTAAACCATACTAAGTAATATACACCAATATCCATGAATATACACAGAAGAAATACAGTAACAGGTCTTTTTTGGCTCCAGATTATCTTTCATTTATAATCTTATATACAGAAATGAGAGTTTCTTAGTAATATAAAATAGGTTTATTTTAATCTAAACATTGAGTATTCATAAATATCAAATGATTTCATTAAAGATTTTCTTCTTAAATTTATATTTTTCCCACTAAAGCCCCTAAGATCTTATTTTTGATGCCATGGCAGCTTTTGTCTGAATTTTAAAAGCATATGCAGAATACACCACCTGATTTAGCAGTCAGGTAGTACACGTTAGCTCTCATTTTGGGGCACCTTTGAAGAAAGAGTGGTATTTAATACTGAATATAAGCAGTCTTTTCATCTTACCCTGTAGAGTAATTGCCTCCCACTTCAGAACTATAGAATGAGTTATCACCTCTGACTTGCTCTAAGTGCTACGGCCGGCATGGAGAAAAATGACAAAGAATATTATGGGCTTACTCGAGGGATTCAGATCTTCACTAACTGCCAGCATGGCTTAGTCAGGCACAGCACAATGAGACACAGCATGAGAAATGACATACATTACTGGGTACTGGTTCTAGGAAATCATTGCTACGAAATGTCCTGAGAATGCAGAAGCTGAATCTTTCTCAGGGTCAAACACAGCATATAAAAATTACAGCTGCACATGGATGGTGTTTACAAACACACTTATATATTTAATTGAAATTATGCATATGGACTTGCTGAAAACTTTTGTTTATAGAATACAGTAAAGGTGGGAGATACAGAGTGCTTTCCCCTAGATTCTAGCAGCTGCACTGAAGCAGCCAGTGCTTTCACAGTTATCCATTATCAAGTTGGGTGCAGATAGGCTGACTACCTAAAGACTATACAGTTTATCCTGTAAGGGCTGACCATGGAGCCAACCATCTCCTATGTTTAACAGGCACAAAATATAATGGAAAAAGTTGGCAGGAGTAGTAGAGCAATGGCCAATAAACAAATTATCTTAGCATTTTTCATCCTGCATCACAGAGGAAAGAAATGAGTATGAGAAATCAAATGACAGACGCACATGGACTTAAATCCAATTTGCATGTCATGATGTATACATAAATAAAAAATGCAAAAGGAAAAGAAGAGTATTTAAATTTCATTCCACGTTACTAACATGTTTCTCATTAAAATATAAACCTTACCTTTGCTTCTTTCTTACTGGCTTCTCTTCTGGCTTCCCTTTCTTTCAGTCTTCTCTCCTACAGGAAGAGGGAAATTAGCAACATATAAATATCTACTGGGTGTAAACCAGACCACACATTCATAAAAGTTTTCTTTTTTAGAGCCAACTGATACATGACATTCATTTTTCAATACCTATATACTGAGTATCCACTATGGGATTAGCGTTAAGTATTTATAATCATTAAGTATGTGTCAAATAGATCTTGAATTAAATCCCAGTTCTACCACTTACTAGCTTGTAACTTGGGGCAACTCAATTATATTCTCTAACTCCCATCTTCGCAGCTAAACATGGAGATAACAGGAGCACACATTTCATGAAATTGGTACAAGAATTACATAAACTAGCATACATAAGTGCTTAGCACAATGTCTGACACGGACTGGTACACAATCTATGTTGGCTATTCGAATAAAAAGAAGGAAAAAAAAGCAATAATGACTATTTCCCTTTTTCTCTGTCTAAAAGCAGAATTTATAAAGATATGAAATCCTCATCCTTAGGGTTCTTAGAAAAGTGGCAATACTTTCTCAAACAAAAAACAATGGAAGATCATTCTTATAAACCATGTTATTTCATTAAATTGATATGTAATTTCTCCACTAGTTTTCCAATCATCATAGAATAGGCAGAAAAATGTAACACTAACATTTTTTAAAATAAGGAGAACAAATATATAAATATTAAAATTCAAAACAAAATGATCCAGCTAAAGTTGAATATTGTTTTAAGTAATAAATCTTTTCACTTCACAAGTGTTAAAGTAAAAGGTTATTCTCAATACAAAGTTCACAGCTTCCAATTTGTATTTTATAAATTTTATAATTCTATAAATGCAATGTAAAAAAGTGAATTCACAGCAAATAATTTTCTTTTCATGACATATTATGAAACAGCAACCTTCATTCACTATTAAACATCCATTAACATGAGAATTAACAACTTCTCTAATCTGGGCACTCTAACATTACCACTGTGCTTTATAGATACATCACCTTCTCCAGATTTAAAAGCCAATTCTAACATACACTCTGAAGACAGACCTGAGGCTGCTCTGTTTCTTATGGCATTGAGAAGGACAGGCAATTGCTACTATCCACCTTATCCAGAGGCTTCTTTATGGCAAAGTGACAACATAAATGTTGAGCGTCTCAAAGTAATTAAATACTAATTAATGCAAAGTGGAGAGGAGTCCACAGAGCTTTTAGATTGTTTCTATAGCTTCAGCTTACACAGTAGGGAAGAGAAATTTTAAGTAAAACAAAAATTCAAATTCAAATGGCAACTGTGAATATGTTCCCCAGCCCCCTGAATAGTGAATAATGTTTCTTTTTTGTGATTATTATTCATTCTATAACCCAGTTTGGGAGCAAATGGGTATCACCTTCACTTGCAAATAAAACATTCACCTAAAAGGGCAGGTAGAACTTAATGTGCAATTTACACAGAGGAACACTGTCATTTCTAGAAGTTTCAGGACCAAAATCAGAGGGAAAGGAAAGATAAAAAAAAAAAAATATCAGAACTTGACTTGTTCATTGCCAAAGAGCTTAGTAAGTGACAAAGCTGACCTAAACCTGGGTGTTCGTGTGCCAAGCCTAGTGCATTTTTCCAATACGTTCTAATAAAAATTGAAATGTCAAGTTTGACTTTAATAACATAAGAAAATAATACTCAGTATTATTTTAATAAACTGCCAATTAATGCAATCGTTATCACACTCTATCCGTGAATTAGTTCTCTAATGACTTTATGAGTTTCGATCTGTCACTAAAGTAAACTAATCTCAATGTTTCCTAAATTTGTGGCAGAGAAAAAAGTTAATGGATGGCAGTTTCTAAACTTCTGCACCCAAATTTTTCATAGAGTTGGTGCCAATTACTGATTTACCATGAGCACTAACAGACAACAAATAAATGGAAGCAGCAAAATAATATTAAAGACAAGAATTTAAAATAACTGATCATAATTATGCTTAGTTTGAGAGCTGGCTTTAGTGTGTGGATGCATGTTTTGTAATTCTCACTTTTCTCCTTCAAACTCATACACACACACGTAATTTAACTCTGTTTCCTACAAAAAGTAGTTTTCATGTTTTGAAACTTTAAAGATAAAACTGAGTAGAAAAGTATTTTATGTTATTATGCAAAGACCACAGTGACTTTCAAGTGTTGTGCTGCTTAAACTATAGCTAAATAAAACACCAAATAACTAGAGTAATAAAATTGAACTTTTATAAAATTGTATCTGTCCATTAGCACATTAATAGTATTGTTCTCATATACTAACATAGTAGCTCTGAATTATTAAGTATCAGGAGTGTGCTAGGCATTTCACACATATTTTTAAAAATGTATGTAACAAAAATTTTAAGGTATTATTTTTCCCATTTTATAGATAAAAAATATTGAAGAGCAAAGTGATTAATAATATGGGCCTGATGTCACACAGCCAGTAAGAGAGGGACACAAAACTAAAACTCGACCCATGGAGCCAAGGTCCTCACTCCCCCAGCCCCAGCTCACTTCACACCCCTCCTTCCTCAGTGACGAAGTTGTTAGCTTTGTAGGTGTATACATAATGTGCTTCTTTATCTGTGTATTTTAGGCAAATGTTGCATTTACTTTTATTATTAATAACGGTTTGCTACCCCATGGGTCTTTTCATACTGATAGCCTCTTTTTTTTTTCAGATAGCATTTTAAGAATGCTAATTAATTTTTACCAGTCTCCTGTACAGGGAAGGAAAAAAAACAGATAATTAACCACACATAACAATCACATGAATTTTTGGTATAATTATTGAGGAACTGGCCTTCTCCTAATACATCAGAGTGTCTGAAAATGGAACTCAAAGTTCCAAATAACCTTGATATGCTCACATCAGAAAAACCCTGATAGGTATACAAATAAACATAATCTCTATTCTAGGGCTTTTCATCAAACCATTTTAATCAAAGCAGAAAAAAAGCATATATCCACAATTTTCCACTATTACTGAACTACAAGTATTAACTCATTATATACGATGAAGGGTACTTTAAATTTCAAATTTAAATTGGATATCAGAATTCACATGAGAATGCAAATGGGATAATTTTCTTCTTAATATTTTTGCATCAAGTCTCAGATGGATGAGGGATCTTGAAAACCTTTAAAATAGGAAGTGAACATGACCAGGACATGAAACCGAAGTTCAATAAAAAAAAATTTAAAACTTTCAATACTGAATGAAACAAAAGCAAAATTAGAAAACTTTTCTCTCTTATCTTAAAAAGCTATCTGAAAAGAGGCAAGAGTAAACATTAAATAATGGAGAAGAAGAACAGGAAACAGAATTGTGGTAATCCAAAATTTAGGAGAAGTTATAGAGAACAATGTACATTTTTTTTTCCTTTCCTAAAAAAAGAAAAAAAATTTTTTTAAAGAAGAGTATGTGTATCATAGGTGGTATATGTGACAAGACTTAAAGATAAAAGACTGGACTATTCCTTTAAGATCAGGAAGACAAGATTGCCCACTCTCCCCACTGTTGTTCAACATAGTTCTGGAGGTCCTAGCCATGGCAATCAGACAACATAAAGAAATAAAAGGCATCCAGATCAGTAAAGAAGAAGTTAAACTGTCCCTGTTTGCAGATGACATGATATCGTACACAAAAAACCCTAAGAATCTACTCTAAAACTATTAGAACAAATAACTAAATTCAGCAAAGTTGCAGGATGCAAAATTAATACACAGAAATCTGTGGCATTCCTATACACTAATGATGAACCAGCAGAAAGAGAAATCAGGAAAACAATTCCATTCACAATTGCATCAAAAAGAATAAAATACTTAGGAATAAACCTAACCAAGGAAGTGAAAGACCTATACCCCGAAAACTACAAGACACTCTTAAGAGAAATTAAAGAGGACAGTAATAAATGGAAATTCATCCCATGCTCATGGCTAGGAAGAATTAGTATTGTTAAAATGGCCATCCTGCCTAAAGCAATCTACAGATTCAATGCAATCCTTATCAAATTACCAAGAGCATTCTTCAACGAACTGGAACAAATAGGTCAAAAATTCATATAGAAACATCAAAGACCCCGAATAGCCAAAGCAATCCTGAGAAGGAAGAATAAAGTGGGGGGCATCTCACTCCCCAACTTCAAGCTCTACTACAAAGCCACAGTAATCAAGACAATTTGGTACTGGCACAAGATTAGACCCACAGACTAGTAGAACAGAATAGAGAGTCCAGATATAATCTCAAGCAAATATGGTCAATTAATATATGATAAAGGAGCCATAGATATAGAATGGGGAAATGATAGTCTCTTCAACAGCTGGTGTTGGCAAAACTGGACAGCTACATGTAAGAGAATGAAACTGGATTGTCTGACCCCATACACAAAAGTAAACTCAAAATGGATGAAAGATCTGAATACAAGTCATGAAACCATAAAACTCTTAG